TCAACAATAAAAAGGGATGAATTAAGGCCTTTAGCAGCAATTTGGGAAGACCATTATTCTAAGTGAAGTATCCCAAAAATGGAAAAATAAATACCACATGTACCTCTAATAAATCGGAACTAATCAAAGAGCACACAATTAGACAGGGGGAAGTAAAAGGAACAGGAAATCAAGCAGAGAGCAGAGGAAGAAGATGAGGGACAAAACCCCACCTAACAGGCTTAGTGCCCATAGCTCAGCTGTTAGGGTACTGGACACATACACTGAGGCTGGTAAGTTTGAACCTGAGCCTGCCAAACAACAAAAAAATAGCCAAGTGTTATGGTGGGCATCTGTAGTCCCAACTACTTGGGAGGCTGAGGCAAGAGAATCACTTAAGCCCAAGAGTTTGTGGTTGCTGGGAGCTGTGACACCACAGCACTCTACCAAGGGCAACATAGTAAGAGATTGTCTCAAAAAATAAATAAATAACCCACCTAATGAGTATAATAAACATTATTCAGGTGAAGGATGCATTTGCAGCCCTGACTCAAGCCATATGTCAAAAACACTTGTACCCACTAAATATTTTGAAATTCTTTAACAGTGCTCTAAGAAATCAAAATATTTGGAATGAATGGCATCAGAGGCAGAAACCTATAATGCCCCCCTAAGATTTCCTGCCCAAATCCATGAGACTAAATATATCACACCCTGATCATATTGTTACCTGGGAAAGGGGATTCTGTGGATGTAACTAAGGTTCTTAATCACTTGTCTTAGAGTTAACCAAAAGAGTTTATCCAAGCATTACTAATCTTGGCTGGCAGCAGAAAAGGAAGTCCAAGAGATTCCAAATGCAAGAAGGATTCAAAGAGCTATTGTAGCTAGAAGATGGAGCAACTATCAGAAGGAATGCAGTCTGCCCTAGAGGACAATTAAGCCCCAAGGAAATAGGGACCTCAGTCCTACAAAAGCAAGAAAGGGCCCTGTCAATAAACAGAAAGCACATGGAAGCAGATTCCCTCCCAGAGTCTCTAGAAAAGATCCCAGTTTAGAAAACATCTTGATTTCAAATTTGTAAAACCCTAACCAGGGAAACCAACGTACTCAGATTCCTGACGTACAAAACTATGCAATAATAAAATGGGTATTGTTTTAGCCATGAAGTTTGTTACACAACCAAAGATGAAGAATACAGATTTTAGTACTTGGAAATGGGGTGCTACCATAACAAATACTTAAGTTTATTTTTAAATCATTAATACTTAACTCCAAAGCATCATATGATAGCATTTGCAACTCACTGATTGCTAACATGAGAACATTCCTTTTTTAAATTCATTTTTCTAAAATACGACTTAAGAGATAATATAACCCTTAAATTCTTGAGGCACTTTGTTTCTTCTACTCTTTAGAACTACTGTCAAATTAACTGTGCTTATGAAAAGATGTCCAATTAGCATATTCTAACTAATACAAAAATAGACATTAACTTTTTAATACTATCCACCATACACTTTGAGTTTGGTGCACTGTCCTGGCTTCAAGTCTCCCAAGAGCTGCAATATGGTATCCAAGAGCACTCGACTGGAGTTAACCAGGAATTCACGACCACATGCAATGGCAGCAACATCTGCAACAGACAGACAGATAAGGCATGAAGAGCACAGTTACTTCAGGTGACAGTGTGATTATACGGGTTTTCATCCACAGCTTCTGAGTCCTAACTCCCATAGTCCTTGTTATGGTCTGAGTAGTTTTTTTCAAAACACTCCAAAATCTGTAATACTTTGTCCAGGATATGGTATTTGTTGCTGTTTTTCTCCTAACAAACTTAATGAAAACACACGTAGCAGATGATAGGCATTAAAAACTGGTATTACCCACTGAACTATAAAAGCCCAGAAAGAGTAACTGACCACCACGAGAATTATTAAAACAGTGTATAATGTCCAGGATGGCCAGCAAAAACCTTTGCAGTAGAATATAAATGTTTTTTTAGCTACCATGCTCCAGAGTTCCGGTTTAAACAATTAGGACAAGCCAGGTGCAGTGGCTCACGCCTGTGGGCCTACCACTCTGGGAGGCCAAGCTCACAGGTTCAAGACCAGCCTAAACCACAGCAAGATCTCATCTCTAAAAATAGCTGGGTGTTGTGGCAGGCACTGATAGTCCCAGCTACTCAGTAGGCTGAGGCAAGAGCATTAACTTGAGCCCAAGACTTTGAGGTTGCTGTGAGCTATGACACCACCGTACTCTACTCAGGGTGACAAAGTGAGACTGTCTCAAAAAAGAAAAAGGACAATTAGGGCAGTTAAGATCCAAACATAAGGTGGGGGCTGATCACCTTATCTGGGACTAGGAAACCTATAACTCACTTTCAATCCTGTGAATACAGGTTGAGCACTCCTAATCCAAAAACCCCAAGTCTGAAATACCCTAAAATCCAAAACTTTCTGAGATCCTACATGATGTGCAAAGTTCAGTAGAGCATTTCAGATTTCAGATTTTTCAGATTAGGGTGCTGAACCACTATGATGCAAGTATAACTCAAGTCCAAAATCAAAAAAAAATCCAAAATCTAAACCACTCCTGATTCCAAGCATTTTGGATAAGGAATAATCAATCCCTTGCATTTGCTAACTTTTAAGGACAATGCAAAACTAAAATTACATGAGGTCCAAAGAGAAGGGATGAAAATCAATTCTGAAAAAAGCTTTTCTTCTAAATTTTATGTCCTTATTATGGATCACCAAGCATACCTGAGACCCTGCAATTCAGTACAGAGACAAGACCGAGTAATTGCACCAGCTTCTATGGGCAGTGTGGCAGTTACTGCTGTTCTACCAACACTCAAAGTATCTGTAAGGACCCAACAATGATCCAAGTGCATTTGTGTACATGTCTACAAATTTTTTTTAGTTATATTTAACAATAGGACATGACTCAAACAGACTAATAACTAAGATTCCTAAGTCAAATGATTAGACAAGGTGGAAGAAAGACAGAGAAACAATATTCTTGCCTTTTTTCTGAATTTAATGGAAATGCTTCTAATAATTCACAGTAATGAGTTGTGTCTGACCTGTTCACTCATTTTTCTGCCTATGACTAATTACAATTATGATTATAGAACATAAAATTAATCTGTGCTACCAGATTAGCTTCAAGGAATTAGACATTAACATTCTGACTTATCTGTATTTACTCGGGCTGAGACAGACCAAGAGAAGCATATTAAAGTCCCCTAACAGATTTTTTTCTCATTTCTATTGGGTTTTCACATTTTGGCTTCACAACTGGTAATATGTCATTTGGTATATAATTTCATGATGACCATAATTTTGTTAACCCTCTTTGTTCAAAGAATTTTAACCTGATAATTATATTTTCCAACATAGGACTCTTTCTAGTTGCTATAGTTTGGATGTTTGTCCTAAAAACTTCATGTTGAAATTTGGTCCCCAATGATGGAGGTGGGCCCTGTGGGAGATATTTAGGTCAAGCAGGTGAGGATCCCTCATGAATATATTAACACCCACCCTGGAAAATTCACCATTCCTCATCCCCATGGAACCCTATTGGTGGCTCTATGACTTCTCAGGAGAGCTGCTGCTATCTCTGCTTTATCTTGCTCTTCTCCCCCATTTGATCTCTGCACATAGTGGCTCTCCTGTGTCTCTGCCCTGACTGGAAGAGGCCTGAAGCTTTCATAAAATGTTGAATCTTCTAGCCAGCAGACTGGTGAGTCAAATAAACCTTTCTTCTTTATAAATGACCCTGTTTCAGGTATTCATTTATAGCAACACGTTTATAGCAACAGACAAAGATATTAGTTTTACTATAGAAATATTTTAGGGGAATATGAAGCAATTACGCATCTAAACAAACAGAAGGTAAAGGATAACTTTGCAGGGGAAAGCTGCATTCAGGTCAGTATAGTAGAACATACACTGAAACCCAGCAAAGAAACTTAAGTTCTAGTTATGAACTTCAGTGGCCTATCTCCAGGGATAACTACCTAGGGAACCATGCCTCCCCATGTTCAGACACTTGGGTAGACCCTTGACACATGTGACTCACTCATCAATAATAGAACACAGGTAGAACTGATGCCACATGCCTTCCAAGGCTGGGTAGGAAGAGGCCTTATGGTTTCCATCTTAGACTCTTGCTACTTGCCGTAAGATCCCTGAGTTACTATGAAAGAAGTACAGGCCCCTGAGGCTGCATAATGAAGTGACCATATGAAAAGACCACAGCAGAGAAGCCCTAAGACTACCCAAGAGAAGAGAGAATGACATCTCACTGCTCCCCAGAAATTTGCATCATCCCAGCTGAGGCCCCAGATATTGGCAAGCAATAGCAAATTGTAGACTTGTGAGCAAAATAAATGTTGTTTTAAGATTTTACATTTGCAAAGAAAAAGAAAAAAAAAAAGGCTCAGCGCCTGTGGCTCAAGCAGCTAAGGCGCCAGCCACATACACCTAAGGT